AGTCCACTGGTCTATATGGATCTGTGTCTCCGTCTAAATGTACCTGTGCTCATCCTTATGTGTTGCTAGTCCATTGTCTTTGTCTGTGTATGTTAGTCTATATTCCTGGTTCCTGTGTTGTATTTTTTAATTTAGTTTTTCCTTGGACTTTTGTTTGTTTGATTTATTTTGCAATCTTGCAAATTGGGTCTTTCTTTCATCTCTCCACACAACGACACAGTCACTAACAACTCTGAAGTGACTGTGTTGAACTGCCCGAGAGCAGAGTAGAGCAGTGCAGCAGTGTGCAGCAGTCTTCCTCGCAGCAGTCTTCCTCACACTGAATTGTCCTGATGAAGTGAGAGTGAGTCACACACTGCTGTTAGAGCTCTGCACCCGTGTCATGTCTCTCACTAAAGTCATGTGGTGGGAAAAGAATAACTCCACCGTGGAACTGAAGTCCTGGTCTTCATCTTGAACTCAAGTACTGTATTTACAGAGACGACCGGTTAGTCCACTCTAAAGGGCTTGGTAAAGATCTCAAAACTATGTAACATGTTTCGTTTTGTTTGAACCAAGGTTTGAAGATAGAGAAGGGAGTTATTACCTGCAAGGACAGTTTAATGTAAAAGTACAGCACGTTTGTACCACCTTAAAGAGTCAATGTATTTCTCAAAAAGATGTGACTCTATGGAACAAGCTTGATGACGTCAGGGCTTAGGCCTATCCAAATGAAATAAGCAAATGAAAAAACTTGATTTAAAAGGGTCAGACCAATTAGCACTGTTACATTTTAAGTAGCCGTTTCCTTCGGCAATTCAGCCAGCTAATTTGTAGAACTGAGCACTATTTGCACAGGATTAGTATTACCTGTGGACCTCTGGTAATGTTCACATTACTGCCCCATCTCTGTGTAACTTGCAGCGCATTCACATGGGAGCAAAGTCTGTAAATCACTACATTTTCACTGACATCACATAACGGCCTGCACGTCTCTCCAAAGAATCCTCACAGATTTCTGCCAGCGCAAAGACGCGGTGAGAGAAATAAAAAGGCGCAAGATATGGACAAAACAACACAGAAAGTAGAGAAGACGGCAACAGCAATAAGAATCACTGACACGCAGATTTGCATGGGATTAGTGTTATCACTGGACACCTGCGTTTGACCAAATACAGGAGGTAATTCGCGCCGGAATTATTACTTTACAAATCTCATTCGCACGGAACTAAGATCTCAGGGCTTCTTCGCGATTATCACAATTTACCAGAGGTCCACAGGTAATACTGATCCCATGCGAATAGGGCTCTGGTCACCAAAAACTGACAATAATAGAAGACACAGACTATCCATCCATCCATCCATTTTCTTCCCCTTAATTTCTGGGTCGGGGGGGTGGCAGTCAGAGCTGTACCCAGTTCACAGAGCACCAGCCCCTCACTGATCCTCCTGCAGGTGGTGAGTCCACAAGAGCCTTGATGTGGGGGCTTTGGGCAAAATGGGGTTACCTGTCCAACTTGCCCAAGGACACAACGACAGCAGACATCAGTGGGAGTCGTGAAGTAGGTCTTACGGTGGGCTCGAACCCACAACCTCAGGCTCAAAGGCCGATGCTCTACCAACTGAGCTTCTGTCGCCCCCACACCAAACTATAGAACAGTAAATATACAATATACTGATTATATGCATTTAAGAAAGACTTCAGTATTCACAAGCTTGATTTATCCACCCATCCATGTTCTTCCCCTTAATCCATTTCTGGGTTGGGGGTGGCAGTCAGAGCTGTACCCAGTACACAGAGCACCAGCCCCTAAGCTTGATTTAGCTTCAGCCAATCCTTGTCTTTGTACAAACCGTAAATTCCATCAATTCATCAATTTTCTTCCCAGTTTCATAAATTTCTGGGTCAAGGGGTGGAAGTCAAAGCTTCACCCAATTCACATACCACCAGCCCCTTACTGATCCTCCTGCAGGTGGGGAGTCCACAGGCTGAAAGCCTTGATCATTCAGCGGCAGCTTTTAGGCAAAGTGGGGTTAAGTGTCTTGCCCAAGAACACAACGACAGCAGACATCGTCGGGAAGTAGGTCTCATGGTGGGCTTGAACCCAAGACCTCCAGCCCCAAAAGCCAATGCTCTACCAACTGAGCCACTGTCGTCCCCAAACCTAAAATTATTATAGATACATTTTATGGTTCCATTTTTCACTATCATAATTGGTTAAACTTTGATTCACTCAGCCGGATTTCCGTGATTTATTACACTTTAAAAATAAATTAAAAAAAACGTTTATATTCCGATGCTGATTTTTTATGAGCTTTTACAGTCAATGATTTAAAAACCGTGTGCAAGAACTCTGCAAACGTGACATTTCTTTAAGAATCCGCATAACTTTGAAAAACTAACCATAAAAAAATACACAGGGCACATTAAAGATACACATAAATAAAATAGCAGTAATTAAATCAAATGGTTATGATAATGACTTGACTTAATGGCTGGTTTTGTTCTTAAATCAACACATCACATCTGGATAGAAGAACTACAGAGAGTGGGGCGCAGCCGTCAGATTTTATGAGTGAGTTTACAGGGGTTAAATAATATGGCACAATTATGGCTCGTTATTGTGGTTTTACGATCAAACAATTTAGTTTGACAGCAAAATGTAATGGTTATAAATGTGCTTTAATACTCACTTGTACTGATTTTATTGCTGGATGGTTATTTTTTATTTGAAGCAAAGTTAAAGGAAGGAGAAGAAACAATAATATATCATATTTACAGTCCTGGTTGTAATATATGTGAATTTTTGTTGGTCATATTTTAGAAAACATCAATGGTAAAGCAAAACCTTTTTTCAGCCGACTGTAAGTGGTTGTGTGACGCCATTTATTATCAAATACACATCTATTTTCTAATCATAATGAAAAAATAAACTACTCAAATGGCCGCAGACTCCAGTTCTTACCATTTCTTCTAAAACATCTATGACAGCTTGGAGTCTATTGTTGTGGATTCTTGATCCTCTCCGATGATAAAACTGTCCGTTTTTGGGATAAATATGATCTTAAAACCTCCTCTCAGTTCCTGTCAATTCCTGGGCTGCCTTGCATGAATGTGTGAGATCTAATTTGATTTTAGACAAATAAACAGAACACTTTAGTTAAAGAGAAAAGGGTCAAACTATGTCAGGTGCTCATCAAGATCAGCAGTGGCAAAAAACACTGGAAACATGTGAAGAGATGAGAAAAGAATCGAAGGCACTCTTGACAATGACGTAAAAATCCTTTAATTACAAAATAATATGTCGGCCGTTTTATAGCCGTTCTTCAGGGAATGTGTTAACACTACAGCGAAACAGGTGTGGTTTAAATGTAATCAGCACCTGTCACGTGATCCACACATAGCATGATTAACAACATACAGACAATATCAAATAAAAAAATGCAATAGATGCAAATAAATGCATATTATAGAAAAACATTTAAGTGAGGATAATCAACCACACACATTTATCAACTCCACATTAACATATTCTATTCTTCTAAAAGGTGTACAGACACAAAACAAAAAACATGTTGTACACTTATAACTGGAGCTCCAGAAGACTTGTTAATTTGACAATAGAATGATTGTATGTTCATTCAAACTTTCCATACTATGACCGTTACAATGAAATCTCTGGCTGAGTGAGTAAACTTTGAAAGTACTGACTGAGTGTCATAATTAAGCAAAAACAACAAAACACAAAAAGCCTCATATCAAAACAGTGATTGATCTTAATTACACCAACAGCGGCCAGATGGCTATCTTTGAAAGCCGTTGTACCATTCACTTTCAGTTTTTGGCTTCCATCTCGCAAACATGACACATACTTTGCCAAGAGGTGGATTTTATTTGGCTTAAATCTTCTAAGGTGTCATACAATATGGACTGAAATATCTCTATGGATTATGGTTTTTCACTGTATACTATTTGTCCTTGGAATATTGCTGGGGACATACATACATACATACTGTATACACATACATACTGTACATATATATATACATACACACACTCATACATACATACACACATAAATATACTGTACCTATATTATTACATTTATAGCATAGCAACTTATCTATGAATACTTGGTGTGCTCTTACCGTCCTGTATGTACACTGTAACACCAACATTTCCCCACAGTGGGATGAATAAAGGTTGTTTTATCATATAAAAAATAATATTCAGTGTTATTCTTTCTTTTTTTAAGACCATTTTGTAAGCCTCAAGCCCATGTGCAAAGCCTCATGGGCAAAAACAAAACCAAAAAGTAACAATTCAATTCAATTTATTTTTGTATAGCCCAAAATCACAACAGTAATTATCTCGGAGGACTTAACAAAACCATGGATTCGCCAACACAAACAAACAAAAAGAAATGCAGTGATAAAAAAACACATAGAGCCATTGGGGTGAATGACCAATGTCCATAAATGTCGATAAAGTCCATAAACATTGTGTCCTTTATTATCCCACTGTCCTTAGACCCGCCTGCAACGGCAAGGAACACCTCAAAGTCGACGATCAACATGTGTATCGCAAACTTTTAAACAATTGTGGCCATAAATTGTATCCTTGCCGCCTTGTCTTCGTGCGCATGTGGTCACTGTCCAAAACCCAGAGGACTGTATCATGTGAATTCAGCTTAAAAGCCCCAAACAGGAGGAAGTGTCTGGCAGCATGTGACTGTGGACTCAAGCTGTTCTCTAGCAGCAAAGGCGGAGGTCTCAGGGGGCCCGGCTACAGTCTGCCTGTCCGTACCTCTCTCCCCCTTCTCCCCCACTGCCTCTCTCCTCCCTCACCCCTCCTGGGACCACTCCTGTTAGTGCCGTGTTTTCCGGAGGAGACGCGGCGTATGTCTTTCCATCTGCGCCGCCCGGTTTGAGCACAAGCTAAACTGCAGTCAATGTCATACGCGAAGTTGCTGAATTATTGAGAGTTCCAGATTTGCTGTGGCTGCACATCTCTGATCCATATGTGGCTCGTCTGCGTACCTGCCGCCGCGGCTGGCAGTCTGTCCACATCACAGCCTGTCCAATCATCTGTCAGCACGCAAGACTTTGGCTCACTGCGCAGCACAACTTTTCACTTTGAGTTGGTAACAAGTGCCTAAGAGTGGAGGCCCTCAGTCTACTTATGTATGATGTTAGTGTTCTCACAATATAGAAAATTCAAACACAATTTCACTATCGAATGGTCTTAATACTCAATACTACCTTTTCTACCTGTATGTTCATGTACAGTATGTATGTCCATGTATGGATTGTCGTGTTTTAGTTGATTTGGTATAACTCATTTTGAAAACCAATTCAGTTCAATTTATTCTTTCATAGCCTGAATCGCATCACTAGATATCTTAAAGGCCTCTACAAAACCGTTGAACGTGTCAAACTTACCATTTTGGACTTTCAAAAGATTGGTGCACTTCTTGAGGAGCCTGGTGTTTATATTTTCCACCATGTTAGCAACATGTTAGTTTTCATCAAATGCGTAGGTCCCCCCATTGTCACAAATACCCATATAAGGAGACTGGCTCCAGCTTGGCTTCTTCCACATTCTGCAAACACATTGGGTGACATCAGCACTCAGTTAGTCCATTCCTAAAATAAAGTCTATGCTCGCAACCCATTGCCTCAAGTTAGGGGCTGGCTACAATTATATGCATACATGTATGTACTTCGTGCACGGTGGCTGAGTAGATAACACTCTCGCCTCTCAACAAGAAGGTCCTGGGTTCGAATCTCGGTCGTAACAAGGTCTTTCTGAGTGGAGTTTGCATGTTCTCCCCGTGCTTGCGTAGGTTTCCCCCAGGTACTCCGGTTTCCCCTACCACTAAAAACATGCACACTAGGTTTAATCCTCCAGCTCCGGTAGTCCTGACCAAGCCGAGCATCAACATCTGGAGATGGGTTCCCAGGCGCTGTTACTATGGTGACCACTGCTCCAAACGTATGCCTTAGCGGCATCAGGATGGGTCAAATGCAGAGGATGAATTGCCCTATGGGGATTAATAAAGTGCACCTTTACTTTATTATGAGAGGGTAATGCCGCAACAGAGGAAACTTGCATCAGAAAATCCCTGAAAAATATATTTGAAGTCTTGCATAGCGGTAACATGCACCCCAAACTAAAATAATGCAGCTATCTCCAATCACTTGATAAGATACAGGCCAGACTTTCTGTATATTACATGTAAGCTAATGTAAAAAATGCTAACAATTACATTCTGATGCTCATTTCAATTCAATGTATTCTTGTATAGCCCTAAATCACACCAGTAGTTATTTCAGAGGACTTACTGTAACAAAATCGTTGACTTCTCTAACACAGATCAGAGAATCAAACAGTTCAAACATAAGAAATGCGATGATTAAAAAAAACACATAGAGCCATCGGTCGATAAGGGGCAGATAATCAAAGTCCATAAATGTCGATAAATGCTAAATATTTTGTGTTCAAACCAAGAGAGTCCTGGAGCAGCAACAGAGGAGTGAAGATTGTGTGAGCAAACACTTCAGGGTCACACAATCCATTAGCTGAAGGTGATATGTGTAAAGGTTACATCTGGTGTCCTTGCTCAGATCTAGCCCTATAGTGAGTAAGTAAGTATCTTTATTTATATATTGCATTTCACTGATCAAGGTCACACAAAGCACTTAATAATTTTGGTATACCAGTAATTTTCCATTCTCTCCACTCATAATGATGACGGAAGTGAGATGCAGAACACACTGGCACATCGAAGCCCCCGACCATTCACTCTCTCATTCCCATTGTACATGTTTTGAGTGGTAGGGGTAACCAGAGCACCCAGAGGAAATTGGTTTCCCCTACTCCGGTTTCACCCCCTCTGTGTTGGGAGAAGTCACCACAGAAAGACCTGGAGGCGGAATCAAACCCAGGACCTTTTTTTCTCTGAAGCACAACCGCTAACCACTGCATCACTATGTCACCCTATACACTTTTTTATTGCCGCTAATAGTCAAACTGGTGACTAATTCTTTTGATAGTGAATCTGAGGTTGAAAAAAAAAATCTATTCAAAACATTTGTCACTTCTGCCTCAGAAACTCCTGTCATAAATTAGTATAATGTAATTGTAACACTAAGACATCGTGCACAAAACAATTTTCTGCCTTTTAAAATGGTAGTATTAAGGGGCGCTAAACCAGTGATGATATTATGTTTTAAGTTCTTGATGTTCTTTACAATCGCATGGTTGTGTTTGCAGCTGGAAATTTTCAAATTTAGAAAAAAAGCTAAACAAATTCAACTTCTCCCTCTAGTGGAAGCACAGCGGCTCACAGGAAGAAAGCTCTTTTTTACCCTTCAAACGTTGTCATATTTTTATTTTTACTTAAGATACGACTTCTATTGCATGAAAAGAACGTATTCTCATTGTCAACGACCAAAAACAATGCATAATATTTCTTCTTTAACAAAATCTGTCTTTGATTATGTTACCACTCTTAAACCTGCAGCTGCACCAATACCGTAGTACCCACATCACATACATCATTTCCCTCCATGAGATCGGTGAGCTGTACGTCGTCAGACTGTAGAGCTGAAGAGGCGTTAGATTACTGTACATTCTGAAGGCAGCTCCACTGTGGCAGACGTGAACTTGACATTTCCATGATTCACGCAGCTTTGATGGAGGCCTGGAGGCGCGAGAAACCTTTGCTGGGAAAGAGCCGCACTCACGCTGATGGCCAGAAGATTTGAATCCCGGGACTTGTAAGAAACAGCGAGTGTACTGCAGTGAAATATAACAGAGCGGTGATTACATGAAAGTACTTGTAATACTATTTGTCATTGTTGCTATTTCTCATGAAGGTTATGGAGAATGGAGAATGTTTTTCATCTACTACCTATTACCACCACTATACTACTGCTACTACTACTACTACTACTACTACAGTCTTTTCTTGGTCTGCATCATAGAAGCTTTTCTGTCATGGTCTCAAACTGATTTGGATCCAGCAACAAGCACTATGTGTGTGTGTGAGTGAGTGTGTGTATTTTTTTTTTATGTCTGAAAGACCTGACAGCTGGGTCTAAAATGGTGACATTTTAACGCTCTATCTTGTTTTTGTATTGATAATGTCTTTAAATTCAATCCATCTGGTCCAATTGTTCTTAATTCATTGATTGACCCTTTTGGTTGCCAGATAATTTGTCTCCATATTTCTGTCCATTGAGCAATTCGGTTGCTACCAGTAAAATCCAATCGCTACTATGGGTGACATCACATTCACTGTAGTTCAGTTCTATACACTCTTGACATGCTAATGCTATATGAAGAAAGGCAATTTTCTTTTATTTACTAATAATAATCTTAACCCTAACCAAACACTTCAGACTTTTTCTTTCTGTTTATTAGGAATTATGAAACTATACCAGAATTTCCGGAGCCTTAATTTTGACAGCTCCCATTCAAACCAATGGAATTCTGTGAAATTTACCCAAAAGTGTTCCAGCTTTATTCACACGTTAGGAAGACCAATGTACAGGTACATATGCTGAGTAATTAAAGTTCCAAAACTAAAAGCCATCAAGTTGACTGCTCTAGGAGTTCTAGTGTTATAAACAAATATGTTAAAAAGTCTTGATAATTTTTAACATTATTAAGACTGACTTAATAATTTAACCTTAAGGTAAGGTAAATTTAACCTTAATCCTCCTCAAAAGGAGAAGGAGAGAGGAGACAGGCTGAGGAAGAAGGAGAGAGGAGGCGAGCTGAGGAAGGAGAAGGAGAGAGGAGATGAGCTGAGGAAGGAGAAGGAGAGGAGACCAGCTGAGGAAGAAGGAGAAGAGAGAGGAGACGAGCTGAGGAAGGAGGAGAGAGGAGACCAGCTGAGGAAGGAGAAGGAGAGAGGAGAGGAAACCAGCTGAGGAAGGAGAAGGAGAGAGGAGAGGAAACCAGCTGAGGAAGGAGAAGGAGAGAGGAGAGGAAACCAGCTGAGGAAGGAGAAGGAGAGAGGAGAGGAAACCAGCTGAGGAAGGAGGAGAGGAGAGGAAACCAGCTGAGGAAGGAGGAGAGGAGAGGAAACCAGCTGAGGAAGGAGGAGAGGAGAGGAAACCAGCAATAGCAGTGGCTGATTTCAGTCGATGTGATAAAGAAAACTTCTGCCAAAGCCTGCTTCTGTCTTACAATTGTGCATTGGTCTGTTGCTCACAGATATTTGAGAACTTTTTTTCTAAACTCACACTCTCTCTCTCTTTTGTTTTACTGAAATCTCAAAGTCAACTTGCATATGATCCAGCGCTGTGGGGGAAAACAGTAGCTCTGAATATCAAATAGATGAGCGTGTATGCACCCTCATCGCAAAAACCAAAATAAATAAATATAATAAAATAAAAGGGAGGGAGGCAAAGAGAGAAAAAAATCGATTGATCTTTGCGCGGCCTTAAAAATACAAGCGTAGTTGTGAATATAAATGGGCAAGAATGGTCTCCCGTAGTAATAGATAAAACGACTAGGTCTATACGCGATCGGCAGAAGACTTCAAAGACCCATAGTGCTCTAGCCTGCTGTGCCTTCTCTACACTCTTTCTTTATTTATTTTTGATTTCACCAAAGCCAACGCCTGGTACGGGTCTGATTATGTATGTGTGAGGCTCAAAGACAGGCGGGCTGATCTGGATTCTGTGGGGCAGCTCTGATATGAATATTTCTGCTGCATCAGAGGCACTTCCAGTTGTAATTGAGCGCACACACGGTCCCTGAAGCTCCTGCAGAGAACTGACTGAGTTACACGCTGCAGTGTTGCCTCCTGTTTACAGCACGAGCAGCACATGCACACAACAGCTATATTCTCATTGTACTTCATGGACTTTATGTTATAGAACACTGATAAGGCCACAGTCTTATATCCTGTTCTTCGGTGCACAGATCTATGCAGTTGCTTGTAAAGTTGTATGGCATTTGGAATATCTTGGCGTCAGCACTTTTACGATTTTATTGGTTAAACTCAAGCCTGCATGCAATTAAAATTAAGATAGAGAGAGATCATTTATTTGTCCCATTGTAGGGAAATTTCAGTGTTGCATCACCAGTTACAAACAATAGGAATGAGGAGACAAATGAATTGAAACTCCATACTAAAGAAAATAAAATCTAAAAAAAAAATCTAATAAAATCAGAAATAAAATTAAATCTAAAATAAAGTAGAATTTAATAAAATAAAATATAATATAAAATAAAATCTCTAACTCTAGCACAAAAAGAAGCTGTAAAAAATCTCTATCTTTAGCATAATAAGAAAATAAGTCTAAAATCTCCAAATTTAGCATGGCGAGGAAGCAAGACTTAAGTACAAGCACTGACTTATAATACTAATTACCGTGTACTAATTATTTTGTCAATCATTCTATATGCTATAGGGTTATTCAACCTTTCTCAATCGGAGAGCTACTTTTATGCAATAGAGAAGAGGCAGAGAGATACTTAGTTTTGTAGTCCTAATAAACGTCTATATATAACATATATGACAAACATGGAGAACACAGATGTGAATTAAACCAAAATTCTGTAAAACCCTACATTTATTCTTAAAATAGATATGTAATGACTCAAAATATAATCATTCAGGATCATTTTTTAAACTCTAAATCCTTTGGGGAGTAACCTGAAAGGGGCTGGCAACCAGTAGCTGTCTCTCTTCTGAGCTAAAGGTTGGATACCCCTGCTACATGTGGTACTGTATGAGAAGAAACCTCAGAAACCCAAGGATAGATTGTCAGAACAAAAGCTGTCCGGGTACCAGCTCCTCTGATCATCACTCACAGCACTCCGGCTTAACAGCTAGAAGGTCATGGGTTCAATCTCCTGCCGGTCCTCTCTGTGTGGTGACTGCTTGTTCCTCCACGTTTCTGGGTAGGTTTCCTCCAGGCGCTCCGGTTTCCTCCACCACCGAGCCGAGCACCATCATCTACTGCCCTGTAGCGGCCATTTCTACTGACGCGGTGCCCTAGTGGCATTCAAGTATGGGTCAAATGCAGAGGACAGGCACACACAAAAAAAGAAAGGCCAAAATTCATATACTGAACATCATCGCGGAAACTGACCCGGCGATTGGGAATTGAGATCAGCCCACACACATTTTATAATTAATAGTATGAGTAATAACTTTCACTCATGTTGAAGAAAAAATCCCAGAGATGTCAACGGTGCATTTGTTACTGTCAGTCATCTTATTTAATCCGTCTAATTGCAACCATCTCAATTGTTTTTGACAAAATTAAATATAATTGTAAAATATTTTTTGTAACTATTATGGTTTGCTTCAAAAAGGCCTTCTACTTTGTACAGCATGCAGTCCTCAAAACTAGATTCTGGTTCCAAACTTTCACACAAATATAAATTAATCAATGGGATAGAATTGAAATAACTGTCAAAGTACAAACCAACTTTGAACCAACTCCATAAAAATTCTTTCCCTTTATCACTCCAGAACACATCATCCCGACACCACAATCCAAAACTCTCCCCCTTTTTCCAGCCCTGGATGTCTGTCTTTCTCCTGTCTGTAAGTGTCTCCTCCAGGACCCCTCCTTGTTCGCGCTCTCGTCAAGTGAAAGGAACACCAGCCGCAGTGACATCAAACCCTCAACCGTGGGGCAAACGGCATTTCAAGTCTTCTCGTCTGGCGTTGATGTGTCAGCCTGCCTGCGCGCCACTGACTGAGGACTTCTTCTGATGCCGTATCGCAGACCGTGTAGCGCTTTGAAGACGCCGCTGCTTCCCCCTGGAGGTACAGATGGCTGGCTACGCATTGCCGCTTCGCATTGTGTCGTTGTAGCCGAGATGGCAAAGATGCACTTGTTCTTATGGAGGGTTACTGTTGGGGGAATCAAAGTCTTTTCATGGCGCTCAGAGGCAGAGGTGAGTGGGAACAAGAATTGCTGGGTGCTGTCATGCTGCTGTCACAAATGCAAAAATCTGTGTGGCTTTATCTGAAATTTGGAATTGAAAGTTGGCGAAGGAGAGAAGTCACACCTAAATGTTTCCTGAAAGGGTGTCTCGACAAATTATCGTGTTGAATAAAAACGTGATGAAAGTGTTTGTATTTTTAGAGCACTTTGGGGAGATAGGGTTCTTGGAAGTAAATACTATTCTGAAAATGATTTCATGGTGAAAAAGTTTCTTGTAAATATAAGATGCCAAAGTAGTACTGCCAGAGGATGGAAAAGTATAAGGTTTTAGAAGTAAGTATGATAAGTGATACAACATTTAAAACCAGTCCAAGCTCCAAAAACAAGTCATGCTCCAGGATGGCTTCTATAGATTAGATCAGGGGCGTCAAATCGGTTCCAGAAATGGCCAGTGTGGCTGCAATTTTTGATTAAAACCAAGCAGGAGCACACCAGACTCCACCCATTGCCTCAAGTCGACAGGTTAACTCTGGACTGGAAATGGATGGAGTCTGTTATGCTCCTGCTTGTTTAGAGTTAAATCCTGAAGCCACACTTGGCCCTTGAGGACTCCTGGAGCTGTCAGTTTGACAGCTTTTCGTTTTGGAAGCATAATTGATCTACTTATGTTTTTGGTCTTCACAACGTTGTGACTTTTTCAGTAGTTTATTTCTATGTTTTTCTGTTAATTAAATCATCTCAATCCTAGACTGGTCCTAGACTGCTTCAGAGCAATCTCAGCATAGAACAAGTGCTTGTTACCATGGCAACACACTGCTAACTTGCAGCAATTAGTATTTTATTTTCTGTATTTCTGTTATATAAACCAGTTTTAGATTATAGTAAAGAGAAAAAAAAGATTTTTTTTCAGAATTTCATTGATTTGAACTGGAACCATTAAAACGACTGCCCTGGGAGTTCTTGTAGTTAACTTTGATGGCGTCTCTTGTCCTGGCATCAAAATAATATCTTAATAGAAAATACAACGTCTCAGACCCTCCAACTTAAAACATGGTGCACCTTTATACCAGTGCATGACGTATTGCCATCAAAACACTGTAATCCCTCAACAGTGCGTACCAACTGTTGACAACAATATATATCTTTTTATATTTGCATCATTCTAATAAAATTCTGAATACAAAGTCTCAATGTTAAAAATTTCTAAATGAATTGAAATGAATTTGAAAGCTCTGCAACCACATTGGTCTATTGTAAGTACTGCAATTCAACATATATATTCTCTATAACAGTGTCTCCCAAAGTGGGGTCCGCGAGGGTACTGCAGGGGGGCCGCGGGAGGTCTTAAAAAAAATAAAAAAATAATATAATTATTTAATGTTAAATTTATAATGTTTTGTTTGTAATATTAAAATATTTGTGTTCATTATTTGACTTGAATAATCTATTGTAATCATTTTTGTATTACAATGTTTGTAGCAGAGGCTATTTCCCCAAAAGAAAATAACCAGAAGAGCCGATTCTTAATGTTGTCTTCTTGGTTATTATTTTGGGGGGCCACGCAGACCCGTCAGATTTTTAAGGGGGCCTCGGTGTTACTGAGTTTGGGAATGGCTGCTCTATAAGGAGAGAAATCCACTTTTTAATCTCTTTGAGTAGATTCCCTCTTGGCACTCCCCAGTCCTTTTAACGGCCTACTCCTGACAGGTGACCCAAGCTGCATTGAACATCCATCCATCCATCCATTTTCTTCCGCTTTATCCGTTGCCGGGTCGCGGGGGCAGCAGTCTAAGCAGAGACGCCCAGACATCCCTATCCACACACACTTCCTCCAGCTCGTCCGGGGGGACCCCAAGGCGCTCCCAGGCCAGCTGAGAGACATAGTCCCTCCAGCGTGTCCTAGGTCTTCCGCGGGGCCTCCTCCCGGTTGGACGTGCCCGGAACACCTCCCCAGGGAGGCGTCCAGGAGGCATCCGGAACAGATGCCCGAGCCACCTCAACTGGTTCCTCTCGACGTG